TTAAAAAGAAATTACAAAAGTTAAACTTCCATTTGTTTTCTTCCGTCATTTTGTTTGTTTGTTTTTTCGTTGTTGCTGTTATTGTCATTTTTTAATTTTCAATCATTTGGATCTTTGGGTGACAAGGGAAAATAGGCACCAGGCACTTCTATAAGATCCTAATGCTGCTCAAATAGACTAGTTGTTTCCAGATGCCCAATGACAGCAAACGATTCAACAAACTGTGCACAAACATGTATATCCTTTAGTATTTAAGCTCTTGTTGTTGGTCAGTCCCTTCCATACATTTTAAGCCCAGGCCTGGGACAACATTAGCAGGCATTATTTGAGAGAACAGAAACATAGAACTTTCCAGGAAAGATCCAATTTTGTTACTAGTTTGTTTTCCTGAACTTTATCTCTTATTTATAATGATTTTTAAAAGGTGATATGGCAATACTGCTCAGGGATTCCTTATTTCCAGAGAATAATGACATAGTATAACAAGAAGATGTTATAATGATGTTATAATAATGATATAGTATAACAAGGAGAACAAGAACAATGATTTAGTATAATACTAGTCTTGACATTAGAAGTTCTTGCCCACTTTTGATTTTCATTATCTCTGTGACCTTGGAAAATCTACTTAATCTGTCTACACCTCAAGTTTCTTTCTTTATAAATATGAATTTTTGTTGTGCATGTCTATCTTGCAGTGTTGATGAACACATCTGATATATGCAAAGAATATTTTGAAAACTGCAAAATCAATACAAATTGTCATTATTGCCCCCACTTAATTCAATAAACAGTACATTAACCGTGCCCTAAACACTGTGATTTAATTTTAAAATGAAGAAGGCTCAAATTTGCCTTTGTGCCACTTACCGTCTATTGCAAACAGAGCATAAAGAAAAATCAGGAAGGAAACCTGAATGAGGACTGCCTGAGAGCCCTCCTGGGCATCACATCAGGTGAGACCTTTGACTTGCTTTTATTCTCCAAAGTCTTGGCCACAAAATGTAGTAACCAATAAAGGTTACTATGATTTACATTTTGCTACAGCTACTATTTATGAAGCATCTTTTGCCAGACTCTGTGTGAAGTACTTAGGACTTTTCTATAACATTTAATTCTCAAGTCACCCTTGAAAGATAAGGGTCACCATTTAGCAGATGATTGAACTGAATCTTCTATAATTTAAGTGATATTTTCCAAGTCACAGCGCTAGGAAGACACAGAACAAGAATTGGAAGACAGATCTCCATACTCTTCTCATAAGAGGAAAAAGAAAAGAATGAGAGTCAAACTACCACCTTTTTAAATAGCCACAAAAGCATCTGCTGGTGAACTCTGATATTGGGTTGGGAGGCTGAGTTGTAGAACATGGCTCAGGGTCAAGGTCAAGCACCTAGGCATGGCCTCAAAGACTACCATTGACTGCCTGGTCAGTTTTCTGAAGTAGAATCAATCAAGTGAGTAACTCCCTCTCTGCTTAGCAAATTTAACGGACAAAAGTAGGCATTGGGCTGACCTGGGGAATAGAAGTTTCAAACTCTGCTCCCTTACATATGCCCACATTCCTATCACATGGTGTACAGGGTGTCTGAGAGAGGTACAGAGATAGTAATAGGGAGTTTGGAGGAGCAAATTAATTTTAGTATCTGTAATCATGGTGGTCTTCATGAAGGAAGTGCTCTCGGAACCTTAAAAATGGTTAGGATTAGTGTTAGTATAAAATTACACAGAAAACAAAAATAGAAGGGATACTCTAGTTAGAGGGAACAGACCTTTAATTCATTCAACAAATATTTATTGGGGACGTACTATGTGCTAGGCATTGTTCTAGGCACTGAGTAGTGAACTAAACAGAAAAAATCCCTGTCCTCAGTGAGTGGTTGAGACATACAATAAGCAAGATTGAATATATAAAGTATGTAATATAATATGTTACATGGTGATAAGAGGAAAATAATGTCTGGAAAGAAAATAGGAAGTGTGCAGGGGAAGGGGAAGCAGAAATGCAATTTAGGCAGGATGCAATGTCGGGAGGCGGCCTCCAGAGGGGGTGATACCTGAGTAAAGACTTGAACTGGGAAGGAAATGGGCTTTGCAGGTTGTGAAGCAGGCTCACTCTGTACTTAGGTACCAACTTGTCTGGGTCTGGTGAGACAGAACACAGTCTTATGCAACAAGTTACATGAAGCAGATTTAATTTCTTACAGATAGGCAATAAGGGACAATAGAAGCCTAGGATTCATTGTGAGTTGGCCCCCCAAAGCTCAGAAAGCTGTCTGGAGTGGATGGAGTTTCACCTGCCGCTTGCACCACAGATGAGGGACCCTGGGAAACAGCCCGCTCATCCTGGGGTCATATCAATCACTGGGGTAAAGCACAGAAGGACATTCTGTTCTGGGGGTACTGAAACAGAGCCCAGGCTGTTCCAGCCGGTTCCTTTCTATCTCAGGATGTTACATTCCCAGCACATTCTACGGTTATTCTTGAGAACTACGTGTGAGAAAGGGAGGAAAACTTGGTCAATCTCAAGAACACCTGGAGTACTGTTCTGCACAGTTCTTGTGGGTGGAGGATTTCAGGTAGAAGAATCAGCAAGTACAAGGGTCTGGGGGCAGGAGCACACCTCACATGTATGCGTAAGGATCCAGGAGAAGGTCAGTGTGTCTAGAAGACTGGAATAATTAAAGCGAAGAATATTAGGAGATGGAGTCAGAGGAATGGGGGTGGAAGGCCATGGGGCAGACTCCTGCATGTCATTGAAGACCACTGCAAGGACTTTGGCTTTTTATTTCACTAATCAGGCAGCCACTGGAAAGTTTGATCAGAGGAGTATCATGATTTGACTTAATATTGAAGGGATTTATTCTGGCTATTGTGTTGAAAACAGGTTGGAGTAGGGGAGGATGAGCACAAGTAGAAAGAGAGAAACCAGTTAGAAGGCTATTGCTGTAATCCAAACAGAAAAGCATATATCTTGAATCTGGTAGAAATATATTTGGTGTGCAGTAGTCTAATTCCAGATATATTTTGAAGATAGATTAAATAAGAGTTGTGAGGTATGAAGGAAAAGAGTCAAAAGTGACTCCAAAGTGTTTAACTTAGCAACCAGAAGAATGATGTGAGGTGAAATGTGGAAATTATGAATAGAGTCTGTGTGGAGAAGGAAATAAATTGTAAGATCTGTATGGGAAGTCGCCGGGAGCCAGAGTCTAGTACTGAGATGGAAGTAGGATTTCTTATTATGTTTACGTCAGGATGAACTATGTTTATTTCCCTACAGAACCTCTCTATTAGGGGAAATAAGGTATCAGGATTCTAGCCAGCAATCAAGAAGGTGATAATGTGCCTCCACAGTTCGAGAAGTCAGAAAGCACAATGCTATCTTTTTGAAGAGTTCCTTTTTTATCTCTCTTAAATAAAACTTTTTTTTTCAAATGACAAACTCCGGGTTTACATCAGCTTTTCCTTTCAACTTCTTACCACATTCTTCCTATATATCTCAATTCTATCCATCCTTCAGTCACCAGGCCTGGTAGTAGATTCTGCTTCCTAAACACTTGTGTCCATAACCACAGGCTCTACCCTTTGCAATTCGCTTGTTACTGGAATTACTGCATCCCCTCTTACTAGGTTTTCTGACTCCACTCCTAGAGCCCTTTAAACCTTTCTTCACAGTGTAGCCAGATTGGTCTTCCTAAAATAGAAATCTGATGGTGTTCTTCCCTCGCTTAAACATTTCAATGGATTCCACTCCTCTTAAGCATAGAAATCTTAATGTGGCTTAAGCATTTTTGCCTTCCTCTACCATTTCACTTCTCCCCATTCTCCTACCTCCCACTACATGTTCTGGCCGTTCTGACTCTCTTAAATTTTCTCAAACATATCATGCTCTGTCTCATCTGTGACCTTTCAAACATGCTTGCACTACTCTTCCCCTAACCCTCATCCAGCTTCGGTGAGCTTCTGGGTCTGATTCATGATTCAGTCCTGCTTCAGCCCTTAGCAAACCACACTGTAATTGCCTGCTTAGATGCTCATCTGTCTTCTAGACTCTAAGTAAATGAGAGCAAGAATCGTGTCTATCTTGTTCAACATTATGTCCGTCACTCGGAGCAAATTCTGAGCAGAAACAAATAACAGGCACTCAGTCCATATTTGTCAAATCAATCATTGATAACAAATATTACTTCTTTAATGAAATGTTCCCAAGGGCTTTCCATTGGAAGGGATCTCTCTCCCTCCTTTGGGCCTTTATAGATTTTAACTCCACATGTGCTACAGATTTATCACTTTCTACCTTCCACTGTACTTACATAATTTATCTCTGTTATTAGACAACTTTCTTAAGTGCAAAATCCATGTCCAATTCATCTTTGTTTTTCCCTAGATGATCAATCACGTAGCTTTATGTATACTCTGACTCCAGTAAATGTTTATTGAATTAATTAACTAATTAATTAATGGAGTTTAAATGTTATACTTCATACCTTCAAAATAGGCCAGTTTATGGAGAGCATATGCTTTGAGATTAGAAGTGGTGGGTGATAAATTTAAATAGGTGAATTGATGCCAGATTGCAGAAGATCTACTTTGCTTAGCTAGGAAGACTTAATAGTTTGGAAACTGGAGATTTGTTGAGGATTTCTGAACCAAAAAGGTATATTATCACAGATGACACTAGGAAAATTCATCTGCCCTTAAGATAAATTTTGTGGTACAGAAATATAGTGCTATCCTGAATTCATACCCAGAGGTTGTAACTGAGGGAAGTGAATCTTGCTACTGTTGGCGATTCAGATCTTTCTTCAGGGTTTTGGAAGAAAAACCTAAATATAGAAGACAATTATTAGACACACTACATTGGCACCTATTTCTTAGTATTGCCTTTGGTTCTAATATTGATAAAATTGTTTTGGTGCATTCTCTAATTATTCAGGATCCATGGATGTAGCTACAGTAAATTAAGTTTCAGAGTTAATCCCTGATTTGTTTCCCAACAGGTTCTCTAACTCTGAGAACACATCATGTTCAAGATTCCAAAATGGGATTTGTGATCAACGCAATCTATTCCATGGCCTATGGGCTCCACAACATGCAGATGTCCCTCTGCCCAGGCTACGCAGGACTTTGTGATGCAATGAAGCCAATTGATGGACGGAAACTTTTGGACTCCCTGATGAAAACCAATTTTACTGGAGTTTCTGGAGATATGATCCTATTCGATGAGAATGGAGACTCTCCAGGAAGGTATTGTTACAATTCTCCTCTAGATAATAGAATCTGAACAACAGCCAACTCTTGATCCTAGGATGTCTGTTTCTCTCCTTCGTGGTTATCTAGGCTTCCTGGCCATGTTTGGCTAGCCCTGACATCCTAAAGTGAGCAGAGAAAGAGAGGCAAAGCCCCACTTCCTGTGGCCAGGGAAAAGCACTGATCCTGATGTCCAAAATGTGCTTTTGACATCATTATCACATTTCAGAGACCTAAACTCAGAGACAGGAACCTCACATTATCATAGATAAACAAAGGCCATCTCTGATTTCTCTGAACATGCTTGTCACGTTCTTCTCTGTACTTTATTATTTTTTGGGGGCATAGAACTATTCTGAAGCAAGAACAATTCAACTTCTGGTGATCCGGAAATAGGGCTGAGGTGCTATTATAGTGTTTACTGTACCTACAGTGAGTTATAAAGTCATATTTTATTTTATTATTCTCCAGCTGGAGCACTTTCTTGCTTTTTGAGGACTAAATTGCCCTTTTTTCTGAAATTTCACCTTTCATTATTTTTATAAAGAGGAGCCTGATAAATATTAACGTATAATTATAAGTCAGCCTCCAGAGAAATAACTACATACCCAGAATTTAGCAGAGTTCACATCCATTTCCTACTTCAAATCCTTAAGGGACTCTACATAGGAGACTTTTTATCTATGAGGGATAATGTCATCGAAATGATATTCTGAGTTGTAGCAGGGGTGGGTCTTCACTCTTCTTTGCATCAGAACAATCAGGGTCTTTGGTCTCCCACAGCAAAACCCCATGTGCTCTTCCAGCAACAGCTTATGCTTAACAGCTATGCTTGGAGATACACTCTGTTTGCAGTCGACCCTTCCAAGAGAAGATCTCGTGAGTCCTTCCACAACTTACACCCCATGTACTCACACATTCTCACAGCAACGTTGATTTAGCATATTTCTGTATTCTGAGATGAGATGGAGCTTGTCCCAGATGCAGTTATTACTACCCCACATGCTGGAATTCTAAGTGATAGCTATTTTCAGGTCATACAGCCAAGCTAAAACCTAGATATTTTCTCTGTTTTAGAAACTTGAAGAGTATTGTTCCAGTGAAACTGTTTGCCAAGATAAGCTGACTTTTCACATGTTTTTTTTTTACTTTCTGGTTGTTCAGTATATCCATGAAGGAAAAAATTACAAACATTTTCTCAGGGCCAAAGAAAACTTCACATTTTCTGTAAATCTTCTTAGGGCAGGTTGACCCATGAGCTCAGTCTTTGGGATCAGGTCAAGGCCTAGGCTATGGTATCTGTACATGGATTTATTATTCCTGTGTGCATCTCTGGAGCACTGACATCAGCTTGGAACTTAATGATAGACTTTGGTGACTGCAGCTCCACCAGTTCAGGAGTTTTTAAGCCATGTGCCCAAGCCATTCCACGAACCAGAGAGTGAGGAAATGTCTCAGTTGGTCCAGCTGTATTTCAATGGGAAACCTTAATTAATCAGGCAGAACATTGCTGCCTCATTCATAATCCTCCAAATATGCTGTAATGGGTTACTTTCAGGGTATTAATTCTTAACCTTTTGGGAACATGAATCCCCAGATAAAATTCATAGATATTCTTCCAAGAACAGTACACATAAAATTTTACTAACAATTTCTGACAGTATATGGTTGTTTAGAGTCTATCCATGCACTACTAAATTTGGATATTACATTAACCAATTAATAAATTATGAGAATTGGCCTCTGAGGACATGGGCCAGACTCAGGAGAAGGTGGTTTGAAACTTTTTGTTTTTCCAACTAATCCTGTAATATTTACCAAAAAATTTAACTAACATTCCTTGAGTGTGTGTTCTGAGCCAAACACTAAGCTAAATGCTCTACTTTTTAATTCTTTTAGGTATATAATGTTATTGCTCTTTTTTCTGGATGAAGAAACTGAGGCTCACAAGGTTAAATGACTTGCCCACAGTCTAGTAAATGACAGAGTTAAGATTCTAACTCAGTATCCCAGGCTTCCACTCCTAACCTTACACAACAGTCTGTCAATTAATCCACGGGGATCAAAATTAAAAAAAACAACAACACTATTTTCTGAGAAATTTATTGGTAGACATTAGGTTGTTATGTTTGTGAAATGAAAGTTACTGCTCTGCTAGATCAAAGTCATTCCCAGCTGGGTGAGGAACCAGAGGAGCCTGGGGTAATTAGGGATTCCCCTAAAATTCCAGAGTTACAAGAGGAAGATCCTAAACAGAGGAAGCTGAGAGATGGCAACTTATTTTGGCACATGCACTTGCAGATCATTGGAGAGTACATTTTAATCATTGTTTTAAACTTATCATCTGATTAGACTACTATTAATTCACAATTCATTAATGAAAACTGTGGTGCCGGGTGTTACAGAATCCAGAATTTTTTAATTTAAAAGAGCTTATACCACCCTATAATGCTCCTGACATGATATGTAGCAGCACTTCTTAATCAACGCATTAATATTTCTGCAGCAAAACGTATGAATATTCACACTAACTGTGATAAATAGACTGACTATAAATAGCCTCATGATAGTTCAGGTCATGTTTTGTCACTAGATAAGTTCAGACAGGGTCATGTTTTGCTGCCAAGTGAGTTATGAAAAAAAAATATGGTTTTCAGAGCTCTAAAGATGTCAGAATTACAAAAAATAAAAATGGACTGTTACTATTTACCATCAGTGGTCTAAATCATGGGTTAGCAACCTGCGGTCTGTGGGCCAAATGGAGTCTGCTGCCTGTTTTGTACGTAGGGTTTTCTGGGACACAATCACACATTTATTTAGGTGCTAAGGATGCTCTTCCCCTCAATAGCAGAGTTGACTATTAGAGTACATGTCAAAGCCTAAAATATTTATTCTATGTCCCCTATCAGAAAAAGTTTGCTGGCCACTGGTCTACAGACTCCATTGAGAACTGAGGTTTAAGAGGCCTGGCTGCTGCCTGGGGTTGACCATAATTGGGCAGAGGAAACATGGAGAGCTGATGTCAGACTGAGTACAACTGACTGCTTAAAACAAAAATTAAAATATTATATTGTGGGGCTTGTGGGGTTTATAAGTATGTGAGTATAAAATATTTGAAAATAATAGCATAAAGCAAAGGGGTATGAAACTATTCAGGGACAAGTTTCTTATATTTTACATTAAGTGACTCAACATTCATTTTAAGTAGAATAAGATAACATAGTGCATATTATAATCCCTTGAACAACCACTAAAATTTTAAAACAAAGAGGGATAGTCAATAGAAGGGGCAGAGTCAACCCGGGAGAAGCTCGAAGCCCAGTGAAGGCGGTAGGTGGGGGTTTCATTTCTTCTTTTTACACACCTCTGATAGTCCGCGGGCTGCCGAGCGGCTGGTGAGATTTTTCACCCGAGCCCCAGTGCTGCTACAACCATTGAAATGGGACCCTCTTGAAAATAAAGCACTGGGCTTCCAGCCCCTTGGGATTGGCCCCCATGGCCACAGCCACCAGCCAAGAGGGAGGACGTCATACTGCTTCTCCTCTCGTACCGGCCCCTTCTCTGCTCCAGGGAGCTCCAGCCCTTCAGTTTTCACATCATCTGTTCCCACACAGACTGTTCCCAACTCTTGCCCAGATTGCGGTGGGCCCCAGAGAACTTGTGTGATTCCAGAGTTTGGACATTCCGTGCGGGCTTCCTTCCAGAGAGAGAGACCGGAAGAACTGGAGTGCCAGCTGTCCTCCATTCGGATGTTTGTCCTTCCTCATTCCTCCCTTGCCCACTGCAGCCGAGAGGAGCTATTGAACTGAGACATTCAAAAGCAGCCCCCTTGCACTCTGCTGGCGCGCCCTCCAGTCTGAGGTTTCCACAGAGAGAGGGCCCCACACTTTTCCCCTTGAGGACCTTGCAGTGGACCTAGGGGTGCTCAGTCTGGGAGTTCCCTGCCTGCTGACACTCCCAGAGATGCCCACCAGGGAGACAAGCACGCAGTCTGGATCCTGTACTGCCAGGACTCTATTGGGTTGCTTGGGAGCACAGAGGGGAGAACTGAGAACTAAACTCAAGAGGCAGAGGGGCCACATGGGCAGAACAGACAAAAGAGCGCACTGTGGGTCCAAGCCACAGCAAAGTGGAGGAGCAACCACCCCCCCCCCCCACCGCAGGAAAACTGCACCTTTGGACTGCAGCGGGTCCATAGGTGGAACGGGGGAGGCAAAAGTCACTCTCAATAGCCAGTTGGTGAATTCGGATGACCCCTTCCCCATGAATAGACTTTCCCGTTTGATGGGGCTACTTCAGCCCCCTTCCCAGCACCCTTCCTCAGTGGCCTGGGAGCTGACCTTTGATCCTTGCCAAGACAGTTCCAGGACTCACTTCTGTGGAGCCTGAAGGCAGACTGGCCTGACCTAGACCCACTCAGCCTGTCTCTTCCAGCCACCTATGCCGTAGTGGAGAACAAGCAATACCCTGAACTCCAGGGCCAAGTCCACTGCCTGAGGCATTCAAGTGCTTCTTCTTAGGGGCTAGAGCCAATTACAGGCATCAAAGAATAGCTCTGCACTTGGCTTTTTCCTACAAGCACCAACTTCTGGCAGGGAGAACAACTGTAGAGACCATTACAGCATCTTCTGACTCAATCACAAGGGGGTCACCAATTCTTACAAGCACCACCCACCATCCCAGAGATTAAGGTGGGGGTCCAAATACAATTCGCACAGCTGGGGCAAGGGGAAGACAGCAGAATAGGAGCAGCCCGAGGAGGCATTGCTTTGCAGGAGAGGAATAAAAGTTGCAGGTGGCTCGAGCTGTGAGGGGTCTCCCTCCTCTGCTTCAGACCTCTGGGCTGATTAGGGAGCTGCTCAGAGTCTATGCAGAGACATTACACCAGAGAGAAGGTGCAACAGAGATTTGGTGACTGCCAATCCTTGGTTTCTGCAGCTGACGCCATTCTGTCATCACTCTGGTGTATGGTGCCAGCTCTGTGTGGGACTTAGCTT